CAGCCAGGGATTTACACATCTAAGAATTCAATTTTATTAGCACAGTTTTAGTAAAACCTCTTTTAAAATGGGCACAAGTAACTGGATAATTTTTATACGTTATACAACCACCGAATTGGTAAGTTAAATATTACCACAAATGATCTAATTGATTTTCTTTCACAATTTCATAATAACTGCTAAAATGTATTTTACTTTAAACTATAAATGCATAGCATGGCTGTATATAGGTAGAAGTACTGAGCATGACTCTAGTCGCAGCTGATTCTTATAGCATTTATACTACACTAAGCATGTTATATTTAGCTACCAATCCATAAAACTCAGTGGTCTTAGCTCTCAAAGTGATTAAAACCAACCTTTTATATATAGTAATGCTCTCAGCTCTCAGTAGTAACTTGTAACCAGTAACTCGTTTGATTTGAGTAGTCATGGATTTATTGCATACTCATACTTTCTACATGAAGTACTGAACGGAAAGCAACATCCACATCCTACGGAATACGGGACGAATCCTTCAAAGGGAATCCTGCAGAGCGACACAGAATTCCCAACTTGTGCCCTCATTAATATGAAGCCATCTTAATCATACGAAGAATATAATTATGATTTGCTATCTAAACAATGTAAAGAATGTGCATGTGTAAAGAACCAGTTACTTCTACCAGTAAAATTCCCTTCTGTAAAGATAAACTACTATTCGGTAAACAGGTTTTACTGTGATATTAAAGTTTTATTTAAGCTGATGTTGGAATCTACAGCTGATGTATTGACTTTGGCAATAATGCTGCAGTACTGTTTTACCTAAAACGCATTAAAAGCCCAATGAATGGGTTCAAAGGTCAGATTCTTTCCAAGAATGGTGTTAAGAGAAGTTTCATGGGTGCTGGAGAATAATGGACCTCAAGCTGGATTTATTGACTATTAGAGAACCTCTCTGGCCCTGGCTTTTTCATCGTGCCACATCTGTCCTGACTCATTACCACATTTCCAAAGACACTTGAGCAGTCACACTTTGCCTGCCAATACCTATTATTAGGATACTGACTCACCAGTACGAACACATGAATTCACTGTGCCACACCTGACTGTAAGCAGAGGTGGAAACTACTTGAGTAATTGTAATTTATTACCATACTTACGTATTATTTTGGCATATTTATACTTTAGTTGAGTATTATTGAAATGGAATACTTGTAATCTCACTTAATTACACTACCAAGAAAAAACACAGCTTGCTTTTTACTTCTTACATTATTATTTAGAGATACCTGTTACAAATCACAATGTTTTCTTCTTCTCTCATCCAGCCAATGACTGTACGTTATATGTCTTTATATGTATATATGTTATATGTATATGGTTTTTTTCCCCCAGGACTTCAAGTGCAGAATCTTTTTGTACATTTCTGTAAAAAAACAAAATATCTAATCACCTCGTTTATATTATTCCTTTATTTTCTTAGCCTGTTGACTGAGATTGTTAGGGAAAAATGATTAATTTAGCACTTGAAAGTTTAAGGTATCCAAAATACTTCAATAAAACCAAGTGAACTGTTCTGGGAAGAACATGCAGTACTTAAATTATACTGCCAATGTGTGAGTAGGGTTAGGCTCTGCACACAAATATGACTGTATTATGAAGTGTGTTGGCAGTGAATCATGAAATATTTGCTTGTTTTTTTTTAAAAATATACAATCTTAAGAGAGCCTATACGCTATGTATGAGAAAAAGTAGTATGCACAGGCATACTAGTTAAGAATGGGGTCAGTCATCAGATCACAAACCATGACTCCTAACACTGTACTAACAAAACCAAAGGAAATGTTTGTTCTACTTCCTTTAGATTATTTATGTTACATAATGTAACAGATTGGCCCACATAGTGTCAGCATTGACTATACCAACACTAATGGCTAACCAGACGCCATTGCTTGTAAACTAGTGATGTACTGCATGAGTCAGTAGGTACCTTCTCTCAGCTACGTTGTGTGTGTGTGTGTGTGTGTGTGTGTGTGTGTGTGTGTGTGTGTGTGTGTGTGTGTGTGTGTGAATGCAGGTTGTACAGAGTCAGGTTGAGGGGTCTGCCTTTGTGTTACAACCAGGTATTGATCTTGCCTTCTTTCGGTACATCTTTCCCTTTCGCTCTCCTCCTCGTCACATCATTAAGAATTCTAAAGTGGTCAAGGTTTGGAGAACAAAAGGCTGGTAAGGAGCAGTAAAAGGTTACTTGCTATCATAGAAAAATCCAGATGTGATCTACTTGTATGGTCAACTGCTTGCGCTAAGAGAACAAAAAAATAAGTAAGAAACAGATAAATGTATTCGGTCCAATTTATAAACGCGTTTAATATAAAAATGCCGTACAGTTGTCTTATGACATTGCACAAGATGCTACATTCAAGATTAGTCAATGAAGCTGACTATCTGTTCAATCCAAATACGTTATTCGAATTGAGCAGACAATGCTTCCTAAATGAATATGAATACAAATATGCTATTTGTATTTATTTATTTATTTATGGAAAGGTTACCAGTGTCAGAGATTGGGATCTCGCAGGAATTTCCCAAAAAAATAAAAATTGTCAAACATTGTAAAAATTGTTCACTGCATGTGCTCTTACATATGTTATTACATGTACTTATAAACATGTCATGTTATATACAATGTTATTATATAGGCATCATAATGAAATGCTGCTATTTGGACTGGCAGAAGCACAGGTCCGTAGTACACACTGATAGTGTGTTTAGCAAACTTTCTAATCTTTCTGCAATGTTACAAGTGCAAAAACTGAAACAAATTCCGTAAAATATTATTAGATGGAGATTGTCAACTGTAGCCTAAATAACAGTTTCTTGATTTGGGAAAGACATTAATGCTTGGAAAAAAACAGTCAGGCTGCTTACTCAGTCACATTAGATAGGAGATAAAAGCTTGCCAGAAGGTTCCACAAGGTGTTTGGGTGAGGAGTTGAATGAAGTAATGTTCTGCAAATTGCTGTTTGTTTAATTTGTAAATGAACAATTACTTCTTTCTCTAACAGCCCTGTTGTTGTTTTTTATTTCAGTGTTTGCTTCCAGGGCATGGTGGTAGGGTTCACATAAAACAACAACAACAGCAACAACAGCAACAACAAGACGTCTAGTACAGATCATGCTCACTTCTATTAGAAAAATTTGAGTATGAAAACAGATACAAATGTTTCGAACACTAAACAGATACAGATAGAGATAATGGCATTATGTTACGCCCCTACTATCTATCTATCTATCTATCTATCTATCTATCTATCTGTCGTTGCCTGTCTGTCTATCAGTCTGTGGATGTGGCAGTTTTGGGGCAGGGTGTTAAGCTTATTTGTGGCACAACACGTCAGGAGTACACACAGCACCAACAGCTTGTGTGGATGAGAACGGATCTGAGAGCAGATGTCAGAAGCAATGTGTGCAGAGGGGAAATAATCTGAAGGGAAAATTCAGTACTTTTCACTGCGGCTGGTGAAGTGTGTGGAGTTCTGCTTGAACAAGTCGAAACCAAACCATGAGACAAAATAAAAATCGGCATTTATTAGAACACACAATAATAATAAGCAATACTGCATGAGCAAGAGTGCTGATATACTGAATATCGGCATGGCTGTCATTTGGCCGTAGGTCCACGGCCACAGGCCGAGTGCCACTTTTCAGACACTATAGACACAGCATGGCCATATTTTTTTGTTTATTTTTGCTCTGTCAACAAAAATGGTTCCAAACGAAGCCACAGCTGGATAGAGCATTGTGTTTCGCCATGCAACGCACAGACTGACTGACAGCCTGTAGTAAGGGTAGTAAGGGCTTCAGTGTAACAAACTGTTGCTAGAATTGGTATTTTATGTAGCGAACACAGACAAGCGGAGTGACACAAACAGTGAAATTTCCCAGTACAGTTATACTAAATATAAGCACTCTTGGACCTCACTTGACCAATCAAATTAGTGGAGCAGAACTAACTGTTGTGCAAACATGATTTAGTGTTAAAGTGTAGGAAGATTGCTCCTGATTTAGGATCGAGGTAAATATAGTGTACATATTTCAAATATTAAAAAAGTGTCAAAGTTATGAATGTGTAAGTTTCACACACACACAACCAAACAAGAAAATAATCAAACTTGTATCCACTTATAACTTCCTATTTCCTATGAGTGCCCATGAATTCATCATGATCCCAGGCTGACACCTTAAAGGCCACTCTTAAAGGCAGATAGATGAAGTCCTCATATACACGTGCCAAATCAGCTGGTGCTTGAGATAATTGGAGACTGATACAAGGCAACCATAGTGTGTGTGTGTGTGTGTGTGTGTGTGTGTGTGTGTGTGTGTTTCAGAGCCTCATTGCCTCATTAGAAGCGTGAGCGTTCCATAGGTGTGCAGGAGTCATGTTTGGACAGGGCTCCAGCTTGTTCCTCAATTACCAAATGAGTTTACACAGTGTTTGACAAAGCCTGGCTCCAAGTCCAAATAATTTTACGGAGCAGTATGAATCAAACAAGAATTTTCTGAGATTCTTCCATCCTTCTCTTTCCTTAATAAAATGGCACGTAATATTGATCTTACACCTCACATTTTATATAAAAAATGTAGAAGAATTCTAGAATTCGACTGTATCTAAAAATGGCCTTTACACCATTAAGTGTCACTGTTATTGAGTGTATTGAGTATTATCACTCAGTTTATGTATAAATGACTAAAAAGCCACAAGTGTTTCTTTTTAGTTCAGCCACCAGTTAGGACTTTGCTCGATCTTGAAAAAGCTTTATATCATTAAAAAAAGGCAAAAACAAAAGGACATGCTGTTATAAAGATTGTGTGATAAAAAGTTGATTAACATCACATCCTGAAGCATTTTATTCCAGCAAATTTGTACTACAGCGATTTGTCAACGCTAATAGTTTCTTATTTATTAAAGAACACGTCATACTTGTTATCCATTTACAGCTTCATTTAATCTTGTGGGTTCCTTGGTGGGCTAGTGGCTCGCACGTGGCGCTCTCATTGCTGTGGTCCGGGTTTGATTCCTGGTCGAGGAAACGACCTCAGCCACTGGAGGGTTGCACGAGCCAGTGCAGTCTCAGTGCTGGTCCCAAGCCCGGAAATGGGGTGGGTTGCATCAGGAAGGGCATCCGGTGTAAAACCCGTGCCGAAATCAAAATACGTGTATGGGTGATCTGCTGTGGAGACCCCGAACAGGAGCAGCCGAAAGGGGGAAAACTTATTTAATTTTGTCTAGTGTCTGGGAAGCAAGTTAATTCCAATTATCACTTACATTCTAACAAGCTCTAAGTTAATAAGACAAACAGCTTGTCATATTACTGAGAAACCGCAAAGCACACTGTCCTGAAGATTTTACAGCTTCACTTCTGACTGCTACAATGCGCTGAAACTGGACATGCCGTACCAAAATGCTAAATAGGCGGCATCTCACTTCACCGTTTCAACAATTACACGTGTGGATTAGGCTTTACTGGAGAAATGATTACATATCAGAACAAGCGCGTTCAAATACTGTGATTTGTTATACAGCAGCACTACTGTCAGATCTCTACTGTTAAAGAAAATGAATCAACACCTTCTAAATAATCATAATTATGAATTCAACATTGCTGCGGCATAATTACAGTTATTACACCCCTTGTTAAACAAAACATGCAAAACATGATGAACAGACTGACATAATCACTGAAAATAAAGTTGAATAATAAGTTGATAACCATACCATACTCACACTGTGTGAAAAAACTTCTGCCCTATAGGCCACACAGATTCAGTAGAGCTGAATATTCTTAGCATATGTTCTTTTATGGGGAATCTAACCTCTCCACCTTTTCACTTTTCATGAGATTACATGCACGTATTACTATCATTATTTCTTCTTGCAGTCCTGGTGACAGCAGATGGGTTGAAGGCGAGGTCACCGGGCTTTTTCCGCGGCTTTTTGCCAAGCTAAGAATGCTTGCTTGTTATAAAATAAAGTCATCACTCATTTTTAACACTTAAAATGAGGAAAATGAGGTTTCACTGAATGTTTGTGCATTTAGTGATCACGTGAGTAAGTGAATATCGTGGTAAGATCGTGTGAGGAACGATTGCGTCGTTGATGTTTAAGAGATTTCACCCCACCGTGGCTAGAGCAGCTGGACAGCAGAGCACGAAGAGATCATTTATGCTTTGATAGAGAGATATCTGTCTCACATCATAAAGCGGCTGGATTGTGTGAATCTACCCTCATTCTATGCCAACCAGGTCAGCTTCGACAGATAGCCTTCTCCTATTTAACATTCAGCAACATCTGGGTTGTGCTTTGCTGATTAAATTAAGGAACATGCACACACATACACACACACACACACACACACACACACACACACACACACATCACGCAACTTCAACAGATAGATGTAGATGAGTCAAATGTGATTGCGTTCACTTTAATGTGCGTTCGCGCCTTTAACTGTATTAGCAGATTAACTAGCCATGCTTATAGGTTTTAATTAAATGCTTCTCTTCTATTTCACTTATTGGATCATGCTTTCTCTCTTTATAAGGTAAGATCCGATAAAAATCTTTTGATCCTGAAGAAACTCTTCAACTTGCTAAAGACAGTACGAACGAAATGATGAAAAGATGTGGTAGATGGATATTTTTGCCGGAAAATAACATTTAATTATCTTCTCAGGGTGAAAGTGCATATAAAATATTCACACTGCGAGGTCGGCCATGTATAATGCTGGCCCTTATTAAAACTTTGGCTCTGAAGCTGGTTCTCGGGTTCTACTTTGCTGCTTCCAATCTATATCATTCTGACATGTCCATGTGCTGTAACAGTGTGATGCAAGGTTTTAGGATAGGATTCATTCCTTCTTACCTGCATCTCTTCTTATGAGAACAAAAGGATCTCACGCCCCCAGGCCGCCCTCTCCCTGCTTCCTTCTGTGCAATATGTGTGAAATGTGGTACTGCTAAGACAGCCAGCCACTGTAAATTTGATTCCTTAAAATAAGATTTGGTCAGAACAGTTGTCAGAGTGGCACAGCTCTAACGGTGCCTACTGTATCAACGTAAATCCAAACAGATGTATATGACGTATATGCGGAAGAGTTTATCTCCAGTTTAATGTCTCTGCAACAAAGTGGAAGAATGCTCCTGGCATCACCGTCATAGTCCACAGCAGGGATCAGAACAGAAGCTGTCTCAAATCGAAAGCTAACATCTTGCATTAAATGGAAATGACAGATTCCTGGAACTCAGGAGCAAAAGGAGACTTTTTAAAAATGTGTGCTTTCATTTTTTTCTAATCTCACTGTTAGGCTTTTAGTGCAGTATAACCCATTACATGCTCAGAGATCCATAGATATACCATAGATCAGGCTGTGAGCCTGCGTTCGTACTCGCAGTGATTGTTTACATCACGTCACTCAAACTGCATTATACGGATGCTAGGTTGCGTTCCCATCTTTGGTTTCTGCCGGTTGTCGTGGTTTTATTAGTAGAGCCAGAATATATTTAGAAAATCGATAGGAAAATGCTTGTTTATAAACTGTATGGCACTGTTTATAGTCTCAGAATAAGTCTAAAACTCTTGCTTTCCTACTTGACATGCCTAAACAGTTTGCACCCGAAATAGAATGGTGCTGTGCAATTTTGGGTAAATCAAACACATCCAGCTAGTAGCAGTACGGCAAGTCTCACCAAAAAAGGAAGCAAACCACCATTCCTCACTCCTATTGGTGGTCACCAAATTGCTTAAGCTTTACTTAAATTTGTCACAGGTGCAAATAATGGCCCTGTCCCAAATGGTGCACTTGCAGCTTTGTGGTCTTCATTTGTGTCTCCCAAGTAGGTACAGAAGGCCGTAGGGTGTCCCATTTCTCATTTTAGGCTTAAAAGTGTGCTTATCAGTGACCTCTGTGCACCCTTATTGCGCCGTTTAGCGATGCCTGCAATGAAGCAGCCTCAGCAGCAGTCTGAACCCTTTGCCATTATTAGCAAGGGCCAAAGATATCTTCAGTCCTTATATGTTATTCCTTATTAATTTAACTTGTCATTAGGCAGCATTGGAGTAGTATCTTATGTGAAACAGATAATGATTTAACCAAGTGTGATCAGTTACCTAATTTATGTTTAAAGCCTACACATTGATTTATATGGAGCTACTGTGTGCAGTCACCTGATTTTCCCATGGTACATCATTTAAATTTGTCAGTGTGATCTTATGTGATTGTGGGAATGAGGAAATTATTTTTGAACGTCATTCGTCTCCAAATGGAAAACGAAGTTTAAAAAGTAATTGGTCATCATAGCAACCGCTATCTCTATCTTGGTTATAATCATCACAAGCATTTGAGCGTAATTTTGTGGCTCTTCACGAGCAATAGTAAAAGCATCTCACTGAACACAAGCAAAATGCAATGAAATCTTGAGGACTGTCCTAAATGCTCACTTTTACAGACCTGAAAACTGAAGCTGTTCATGACGATCCTTTTTATACACAGTTTGTTTATTTTGTTCAATTTAGTGACACTGAATTCAAATGGTAACATACAGTCAGGTCCGGAAGTATTTGGACATTGACAGAGTTTTTGTGATTTTGCCTTTATGCACCAACACAATGGATTTGAAATAAATCAATCAAGATGTGATCGAAGTGTAGACTTTCAGCTTTATTTTAAGAGGTTCCACAAAAATATGGCATTTACCATTTAGGAATTATAGCCATTTTCAACAAAGTACCTCCATTTTCAGGGGCTCAAAGGTGTTTGGACAAAGTGACCTAATTGTAAATATAACCATAATTTTAATACTTGGATGAAAATCCTTTGCAGTCAATGACTGCCTGAAGTCTGGAGCCCATGTTCTCAAAACTCAAATTCTGAGTTTCCTCCCTGGAGATGCTTTGCCAGGCCTTCACTGCAGCCACCTTCAGTTGCTGCTTGTTTGTGGGTCTTTCTGCCTTCAGTCTTGTCTTCAGTA